TGAGACTACTGGACAAAATTGATGAATTTGGGAAAGTAGCAGGATTGAAGATAAAGAAAAAACTAAAGTTATAGTGAAAAACTTAACAGCCAAGCAAAAAAATCAACTCTCAAAGATGTCAGATTTACAAATAGTTAAAAAAGCTAAGTATCTTGGAATATATTTAACTGCTAGATGTGTAACTATAAAAGAAGATAATTATATGAAACTTCTTAACCAAATAAAAATAGACCTAGAAAAATGGAAAAACCTACAACTATCACTATTAGGAAGAATTGCAACAATCGAAATGAACATTTTGCCAAAGCTACTTTTTTTGTTCCAAACAGTGCCAGTGAAAATAGAGAAGCACGTTAAGATAAGGCAAACTTCTCTGAGAAGGATAATTATGGTAAGAAAAGTGGAAGGTTTTAGCAAAAGAGGAAAACAGAACATGAGATGCATTGATTCAATAAATGAAGCCACAGCCTTTATTTTGCAACATTCGTGCAGAGTTTTAATTATATGATGGTGTTGTGGCGGTTGTGTCAGGTCATTCATTCAGAGGGCCACTATGAAGAAAGCAATATGAAGATTGAGATTCGTTCAAATGTGCTTACATTAGAAAAAGGTTTTCTTCTTTAAGCTCACATTTAACCTTGGAACACTTTAGTCGTCAACAAAAAGAGCATCTGAGCATGTTATAAATGCATATCTCTCTCTGTGAGAGCCATCTTGTAGTTTAGGAAAGGACTTGAATCTGGATAGTGACTATGTTTAGAAATTGACAATGCCAAACAATTTTTTCCAAAGGCACAAATATAAATTGACAAGTGATCAGAACAATATCATTTACTTACTTTCCATTTCCATACTTTATTCTGATATCTTTGCTTTTTTTCAGTTCTTTGCCATCTCTGAACCATTTGTAGGATGGCTGGGGGTTCCCAGCACTTGCCTCACATTTCAAAGAAATCTTTGCACCCACTTCTGCATTGACGCTCTTTAGTTTCTTAAGTTTCGGAGGAACCGCTGCAAAAAGAAGAAAAACCAAAGTCCAGTTAATAAAGCCACCAGTTCTCTTCATCTGTGCAGACTGATAAGAAATGAAAATGTACATGGTGTTGGGTTTCTTTTGGCAAAGCCTCTAATGAAAGGCTTGATGGCTGCATTTAATGCTACAGTGAGCAGTGGATTCTTTAACCACAATTCAGCTTTACCATATTGACCATTCATAACATTAAAAAAAACCCGAAGAACAGGTGCATTTCATTCTCTCTAGACATTCAGCTTTTTGTCTGAAGCATCATGAGAAGCTGGAGTTTCCCCATCTGCAGCTCTTTCCAGCCGTTACTCCTGCTGCACATTAGCATCCTAATCTCTTAAACACGGCTCCCAGCACATCCTCCCTAGCATCCTATCCAAGCACAAGAAACACAAATGGCTCATCCAAATGAAAGCTAAATGACAACACTGATTGAAGCAGGGCTTTTCCTGGCGATGCTTCTGCCTTTATTTTGATCCAGCATCCACTATCTCATTAGCTGCGTTGTGTCTCTTACCTTTGTTGCTGTCATCAGACATGCTGTTGATTCCACAGCCTGTGCTAATCTGAATGGAAGCATTTCGTTACAGGAAATGAAAAGGAGTTCAGCCTCTTCCTCTCAGTTCAGCCACAATCACTGCAATTGTTTTGTTTTGTTTTTTAATGCTCACGTGCCTGTTCTGGGAATGTCCTGTACACTAACTTTTATACTGCCAAGAGAGAAAAGGCTGAAATGCATCTCCATAATATAGAAAACAACTGGGAGTACAGAAGGTCATTCAGCTTTTCAAAACGACATTCTTCTGACCAAACAGGAGAAGCAGTAAGAACCCCAAAAGAGTAGAGAAGCAAGGGCATGGGCTTGCAAGAGGAGATCCAGGAACCAGATCATTAGAAGTCTCCATATAACCACCACCAGATAAACAGCCCTTAAGCACCCAGCATCTCCTGCTGCTCTTCACTATGACCTTTACTGGATATTGAGTAACAAAGAAAATTTAAACGACTAAATACTAGGAAAGAATATTCAGTCTCTTGATAAATGCGATCCAACCAAGGTGCCACTACCATATCATTATACCAATAGCAATATCCTGCTATTTCTCTTCTCTAATATCGTTTTCAATTTGATAGTTTTCTTTTTTTAAAAAAAAATTATGGAATGTAACCTTATCTATCTGAAAGACCTGGAGGACACCTAAGCCTAACCTAGAGTCCATATAAGTAATCATGTTACAGTATTTACATTATTTATCTAAGCACAGCTTTTCCATGGTTTCCTACACTGCTTAAGAGATAATGTCACATATATGTATGCATATATATCACGTTTATTATATTGTCTTTGCTGAAAGACAAAGAAGGAGCCATAACTGGAAAAGTTTGCTTTTGAGTTTTTCTGTTTAGCAGGTTTATGTTACATCACTGTTTTCCTGGTAAATTCAGAATTCTTGGGATTTAAGATATTTCCGGCATTTCAGTCTATAACAACAGCAATCCAGGGATTCTTCTCTTCTCTTGAGATGGCCAAAGTATTGGAGTCTCAGCTTCAGGATCTGTCCTTCCAGTGAGCACTCTGGTTTGATTTCCTTCAAAATTCATAGGTTTGTTCTCCTTGCAGTCCAGGGGACTCTCAAGAGCCTCCCCCATCACCACAATTCAAAAGCATCAATTCTTCAGCTGTCAGCTTTCTTTATAGTCCAGCTCTCACTTCCATACATCACTACTAGAAAAACCATAGCTTTGACTATGTGGACCATTGCCGATAAGGTGATGTCTCTGCTTTTTAAGATGCTGTCTAGGTTTTTCATTGCTTTCCTCCCAAGAAGCAGGCGTCTTTTAATTTTGTGGCTGCTGTCACCATCTGCAGTGATCATGGAGCACAAGAAAGTAAAATCTGTCACAGCCTCCACATCTTCCCCTTCTATTTGCCAGTAGGTGATGGGACCAGTGGCCATGATCTTAGTTTTTTTGATGTTGAGCTTCAGATAATTTTTTGCACTGTCCTCTTTCACCCTCATTAAGAGGTTATTTAATTCCTCCTCGCTTTCTGCCACCAGAGTGGTATCATTTGCATATCTGAGGTTGTTTATATTTCTTCCGGCAATCTCAATTCTGTCTTGGGATTCCTCCAGTCCAGCCTTTCACATGATGTATTCTGCATATAAGTTAAATAAGCAGGGGGACAATATGATAGGATATATAATAACAATTGTGTGCTGTCAAGTCAGTTCAACTTAGTAGGCATCCTTCAGTCTCGAAAGACTATGGTATCGTGCTCTGTATGGAGGACTTGGAACAGCGTCTAGTGTGGCTGAGGAGGCCAATTTGAGAGTGACAATCCCTTCCACACTGGAGACAAATCCAATCTGTCCCCTGTCCAGCTCCCTGGTTTTGCTTCCTTTGTGACTTCCTCTTTGCCTCAGCCTGCTGGACAAGGGTCTCTTCAAATTGGGAGAGGCCGTGATGCACTGCCTGCCTCCAGGCTGAACGATCAGATGTCAGAGTTTCCCATCTGTTGAGGTCTATTCCTAAGGCCTTCAGATCCCGCTTGCAGATATCCTTGTATCGCAGCTGTGGTCTCCCTCTGGGGCGATTTCCCTGCACTAATTCTCCATATAGGAGATCCTTTGGAATCCGACCATCAGCCATTCGGCTCTCTCCATAATGCAGCACATATTAGCAATTTGGTCTCTAGTTCCTCTGCCCCTTCAAAATCCAGCTTGTACTTCCAGGAGTTCTCGGTCTACATACTGCTGAAGCCTACCTTGTAGAACCCTCTTACTCACCCCCATTTCTCTGATAGCACATAAGGTGAAGAAATTCAAGTGGCCATTCGCACATAGCACTAAATGCTAAAGTCAACCCAAACCAATTTTATTCAGACTTAGAAATGTCATTAATGAAACAAAGTTAAATGTTTATTTATTTATACCCCACCTATCTAGTTATTTCGACCACTCTAGGCGGCTTACAACATAAAGGATAACAAGTTCAAGAAAAATTTATAACAAAATTAAATGATTCTGTGATGGGAAAAATACAAAATAAATCAAATAAAGAGAAAAAGAATAAAAAATGATGATAGTAACAAAGTAATATTGATCAGTAATATTAACTTGGAAAGATAAAATTCTATCCAGCAAGGATAAAATAGAATCTACCTATCACAGTTTTCCATGGAAATAAAATCTTATGAAAAAATATTGCTGGGGGGTGGGTGGGCTATGTCATAAAGTTTGTGGAAGTCTAGCAGATGCTCCCTATATCAGAAGATTCCCTTTACCACATCTTGCTAAAATTGCGGGAGAGATTCTCATTAACCATTTTAAAGAAGGCATCGATGCCACCTCAAATATCCAGCATAAGGTAGGAAAACATTTTGTAAATCTTCTTTAAAAGCTCAAAAAACTGAAATGAAAATGGTAGAGATGTCAATATAATAAAGGCTATTGTTCACATATCATGGCAGTGTCTTAACATAAAGAAATCCTGAGAGGGTATTTTCGGAATGATAAAATAAATAGATCTGCTGAATGATTCTCGAATATTTCTTTTAGCTTAAATCTTTGTATCAGAGAACACTCACAATCCAAGACTGGACGTCTTTTACTTAAAGCTGCAGCAAATAATATTGACTGCCAGCTTTTAGAAGAGCCATCGATCCTAAATGATGCAGCCATCCTGCATAGGGGAAACTGTACCATTATTTGAAGAAATATAAAAATAATGTTCTCCCTGTGACTAGTCATGAGTCACAGAATACACTGAAATATTTCAAAATTCACAAAACGTCACCTCAAGCATAATATCCAACAATGAAAAAAAGTAGAGAAGAAAGCTAATTAAGTCATGGCCTGCCTGTGATTTATGGTTATGAAACAGAGTTTTCCTTACAGAGAGAGCTTCAGATTAAGATTTAGTCTTACACTGACTGGTCTCCACTGCTCCTTCATTCCAACTGATCTCTGAATAATTCAAACACAGTATCAAATACCCAACTTTAGTTTCATTTATCCTCCCCTACATTAAAACTCCCAGCCTGAAATTTGTCTTTTTCATTGCCACAGCACACTAAAGAGAACGTAAAGAGAAAAACCTGTTCCCTAGAATTTAAGACTGGGGTCATTGTGCTAACAAATCCCCTAAAAGAGAGCAGCTATACCATAAACAAGAAGCAAAGAAAACTCTGTTAAATACTGTATGTGGCAACTAAATAACACTGCCTACTTTCCTGTTCAGTAAACCATAAATGTCCAACTTTTAATTCTGACATCATGCCTTTTAAAAAGGCCTTAACCTTAAGTAAACTTAAGTAATATAAAAATTTCACTTGCCTAAGGTAACCTGGAGAACATAACTTTGTTTTCTGATATTGATCAAAAGCTGGTATTGTCGTCAATAAATTCATACCAGTTCTGAGTCTCTCTTCAATGTATAATCAAGGGACACAGAAGGAGTCTCCCCAAAGAGTAGGAAAGGATTGTGAATATACTCGGGCACCTCTTGGACAATGATGCACAGCTGGCCAGTTCTTCATTTCCAGAAGCATTTTCCCTGCAGACTTACTGATGAGGAAAATGATCCAACCATCCTTTTAGGGCCACAAATGACAATAACTTTCAACATTTTAATTTATTTTTAATTTATATTTATACTTCATATACATTCATAATTTTAAATTGTGCAGTGCTCTGATGTGAATAAAGAAAGTACAGTCCTCAGCATAGTTTAAAAGGACTGTAGAGAAAAAGTATGAAATAATGTGCTAGAATTCAGGGTTGCTTAATGTACTGAATCACATTAGAGTAGGCCTACTGACTCAATGGGGATTTGGTGAGTCAGCTCCTCCCTAAGTTCCATTGATTCAAATAGGCCTATTCTAATTGTGACTTATTTTAGTACAGTAAACTGTAGTTAGAGTAAGCCCATCTGAATCAATGGGGCTCACTAAATCCCACTGACTCAGTGGGTCTACTTTAGTGCA